GGGGCCGCCGGGCGGGGGCCCGATGCCCGAAAGCATGGGGTTGGACAGGGGGCTGTTGGGGTTGGAGGCGTGGTGCGGCGGCCCGCGGATGAAGGGCGGCCGGATCTGCTGCATGATCTGCTGCTCCATGAAGATGGGCAGCGGCACCGGGCCGCGGTTGGTCATCACCATGGGCGGGCTGCGGGCCGGGACGCCCAGGGGAGGCCCGATGCTGGCCGGCGGCTGGACGGACACGGGAGGGATGCTCGGAGTCTCGCTGAGGGGCATGGACTTGGGCACGGGCGTGGGGATCTTCGTGACGGCGCAGTTGGCAGTGTCAGATGGAGAGACGGTGGTGGACGCCGACGGGCCGGGGCCTTGGCTTTGGCCAGCTGCAGCCACAGGGGAGGGAGCCTTCCTCCGAGCATCTGTCAGCGGGATATTCCAAGAGTCTGGAGTGAGCAGCTGCACCCCGGTGCCTTCTGCTTTATTTTCCAGCGGCGGGTGGAGCGTGCTGCACAGCCCAGCTGGGAGATTGGCCTGCGTCTCTTTGTAGAAAATGTCCATTTTGTATTGATTGAGGCATTTTGCACTGCAGAACTGAAGCCTTCTTTCCCCGTCCCCAAAATCCAGGTATTCTTTTGTGTGTCTTATGTGCTTACACCAGTCACACACCTACAACACAGCAACAGAAAACCACAACAGGTAAGATAAGCAGTTTCCCTGGGTAGGTGACATTTCATGTTTCACATAAAGGTTCTGTTAAACTTTCTCGCAACTTTCCAAATAGGCTGACGTGCTTCCTTCTAAGAGGTGCAATTCTGAAATGTTTGTAAAATGATAAGTTGGCTTTATAAACATTAGCTCTTCAGAATACCAATGATCACAACCTCCTGTCCTCCCAAAGAAATGCTGCTGTCCCCTTTAAAGGCATAACTTTAAGAAGGTTCTGAGAAAAAGGAGTAGATATATACCTGTCCCATACACCTGCCCACATACTCTCCACTTGTCAGAGAGGCTCACTGTAAGAGCGGATCTAAATGGCTTTGGAGGGAAGGGTTCTCCGGAAAGTTCAATGGGCTTGAAACATAACCTCTTAAAATTCTCCTCACGCACAGTCACTTTACACTACTGACTGTGTTTGATAATGCTCTTGGAAAGGGTGTAGTGTGTTAACCAATAACACAACGCGCCGAACATCATTATGTCTGGCTTCCAAGGAGAAACTTGGAATTAATCGTGAAGCCTGTGTGAGGTTTAGCTATTCCCAACCTGTGATGTTGCAGCAAGCGAGAATTATTTTTTGAGCTGTTTGCCCACTCTCTCTCAGTAGTCAGAATTTTTGGTGACATTTCTTGGCAGGCAGTCATATTTAACAACTTTTCAAACACCAGAGAACATTTTCCAAAAGTTGTTATGGCTCTTTCCCCCCTTCAAATCCACTCCTGGCAAAAGAAAGACATCACCAAATTTATTTTAAAGTTGGGCTGTAGAACTAATTAAAGGCTGAGAGCTTTTCTCGACTGGAAATCACTAGACATCAAAGTTCAAAAAATACTCATTCTCGGCTTCAGAGCCCATTACTTTGGAGAAATTATTGTGATTTCATTAACACATTAATTTTGCAACACCATCAGCTCTCACAGATGGTGAAGACATGATCTACAATTCAAATATGACTCTTGTTTGCACAAATGTCTTTCCTTCATATGGCATTTTAAACAAGAATTAATATGAGTAATCTTGCCATAGCTATAAACAGATAAACAGATGTCAAAAATTTCAATAGTTCTTTCGTGCCTTACTTTTTTTGACAGAATTTTACACACATAATCTTTTTTCTTTTCTTTCTTTCTTTTTCTTTCCTTTTCTTTCTTTGTTTATTTTTGAGGTCATTTTGTCAGCATGTAAGTCATATACAGCAGTAAAGGAAGAACTGTGAAGCACAGTGCAATGGTGAGTTTATTGAATTTGAGTCTCTCCCCAATAAAGCACTGGCTCTAATATTATTCTAAGTGAAACCATTTTTGTTGAAGAGAGTGTCTGTCGTTCTGTTGTTGGTGCATGTTTTTTTTTTAAACTATCATAGACTGATATAATTAAAGGACGATAAATTTTAATAATGATTGGTCACATAAACAATGCAAAAAACAACATATGCTGGGCATTTGATTACTCATCTCATTTAACTCTCAGCTTTCCTTGCTTGTAAACAGTGGCGGCACATAGTGTACGGCTACGCACGCTCATGGCAGGTGTGGGTCTGCATGTGTACAGCTACACTTTTCCTTCTCACTTTTTTTCATTAATATTTGCAGGTAATAAACTTGATGGTGTGAGAATGAATAACAAAGACGTATTGGCACGCATTCGTTTTTTGTTTAGCCTCATCAAATTGCCCTTTCAAAATACTTCTTGCAAAAATTGGAGGAGAGTGAGACTGTGAGTAACCTTTGATGATTAGAAAGGCACTCTCTCAATGTAGTCAACAAAACTGTTGCAGTTGTGAAAGTGAATTAAAAAGAGAAGAAGAATTTCAGTGCTGACATACTCCTGTGTTTCCCTATTGTGTTTCAGATTCCTCCTGAATTAAGGGAAGTTTTTCATCATAATTGAGATGCCAGGTTTCTAAATAAGTGCAGAGTTGCCCTTGAAGAGAAGAAACCCAAAGAATCCATCAGAGTTTCAAAAGTCTCATCTAGACAAAGGATAAGTAAACTGGTAGTGAAGACAATGCACATAAGTTATTAGTTTTAAAACTTGCTGGGTGCAGTGGCTCACACCTGTAATCCCAGCACTTTAGGAGGCTGAACTGAGAGGATTATTTGAACCCAGGAGTTCGAGACCAGCTTGGGCAACTTGGTGAGACCCCCGTTTCTACAATTAAAAAAACAACAAAAACATCAGCCGGGCATGGGGGTGCACACCTGTAGTTCCAGCTACTTGGAAGGCTGAGGCGGAAGGATTGCCTGAGCCCAGCAGGTTGAGGTTGCAGTGGCCATAAGCATGCCACTGTACTACAGCCTGGGTGACAGAGGGAGACTCTGACTCCAAAAAAAAAAAAACCCCAAAACAACCACAACAATACCAACAAAAATGCGATCATTTTAATAAGGCTAATGTACAATGATGTGATAGTTAAATTCACTATGAAATAAAATCACCAGCTTCTATTTCAATATTAGGCTTTTATACACTGGAAGTGAGGGATCAAACATAGCTTCTTTAATTATTGACTAAAAAATGTTATCAATAAATTAAACTAATTAAAATAATATACCAATTTTCTGGCATATTTCTTTTGGATCTTATTCTTTAACCATAAGGGAGAGGAGTGTTCTGAAATCCTTAATTGGTTTTTAAATCACCAGATTGAATTATTTTCCTCCAGAGGATTCCTGTATCCTCAAGCCAAATAAATATTTTCAAATGGAATAAAAATAATAATAATAATCTAAATATAATTTAAATATCCTCCCTTCCCTTCATTTGCAATAATTCATTGATGAATAAGGAATGCTTATAGATCTAGCCCAGTTATCAAATGGGAATTCTTCACCATATTTTATCTATTTTTACATAAAAAGAATTACAGACATCAAGTCAGGTACAATGGCTCACACCTATAATCCCAGCACTTCGGGAGGCTGAGGCGGGAGGACTGCTTGAGCCCAGGAGTTTGAGACCAGCCTGGGCAACACAGTAAGACCTCGTCTCTAAAAGAAAAACCCAAAAATTAGCTGGGCATGGTGGCATGCACCTGTAGTCCCTGCTACTCGAGAGACTGAAGCTGAAGGATCACCTGAGCTCAGGCGGTTAAGGCTGCAGTGAGTTGTGATCCTGCCACAGCACTCCTGCCTGGGTGACAGAGTGAGATCCAACTCAAAAAAAAAAAAAAAAAAAAAACCCATAGCAAAACAAAACAAAGGAAAAAAAAAAGAATTACAGGCATCAAAGTTAGAAACACAATCCTATGTCATCAAACTTTCCCATTAAAGCAAAGTCCTAATGTTAGCTCTCTGACTTTCTACAACATCCCAGAGTGTTTAGGCAGTAGTGTGACAGTTCACAACGACTTTGTTTTGGGTAATGTGAGAGTGTGTGTGTCTCCTTGGCTTATTACATATCAATTCAGAATAATAATCTAAAAATACAGAAAAGCAATCCTTCTCATGAAGCAAAAAATTATTAGAGGAAAAAATTGTCACTTAAGAAATAATGAATCAAGTCTGCCTTACAGGACTCATCATTTAAGATGAGGTCAATGAATTTATGGCATAAATGACTATATCATGAAAGGCAATAAAACACAGGACTATCATTCATCCCATACCCAACTAATGACACACTTCTGGTAATTAAAGATTTCATCCTAAGAGCCTGAGCTGATTACTGAAGATGTGGTAGTAGGTGAAAATATATACTGTCACTATCTCTCTCTCTCTCTCTCTCTTTCTCTCTCTCATAGAATAATATTTGCATATCCATGAAACACACAGCATGCGTCTCATATAAACTGTTTTTCTGAATTGTGGTGGTGAGGGGGGATTCTTCCCTTCTTTTTTTCCATTGACAGCTTTAAATTGTATTTTTGGTTTGTTTGTTTGCTTTTTGAGGCATTATTTCTTTTCCCCGTGATGCCAAGAAGTACCAAGATTCCCTCGGACATTTTAGAAGATGAAGTAGCGCAGAGCCTCACTCACCAAGCTCTGGAATGGCTCCCCCTCATTCACCCCTGCTTTGTTGCTATTGGAATCGGGTCTCTTTGGTTCCACTTCTCTCCCTAACAGGTCCCAGATTGGACAGAGGCTGAAGCTGTTTAACGATGCCAATCTGGGGACCGAACAATCAGCAAATGCAAGGCCGTTGAGCAAGACAGCTGAAATGCTTCAGCTCACAAATACATAATGTATCACCAGGAAGACAAAAAGATCACAAAGGAGATAAACAAATGCGTATTCCATTCAACCCTATAACAGCAGTCCTCAAAAAGATTAAATTTACCTTCCTGGGATGTGTCCAATTCTGAACAACAGAATGAACATTTCCTTCAGTCCATTTGGCGTATTTATATTTTGGTGGCTCACTGCCAGGGCAGTACTTATAAGCTCAGGGCCCTCATAGATTCACTCCTTCCCTGTGAAATAAATGTGGCAACCTACACCACTAAGCCGCTCCAAAGACACTGCCTCAGCAGAAATATCACTTGCTCTTGATATAAGAAAACCGAAAGGCAGGACTCCTGGTTCTTATAACTCTTTCCATCTTGTATTTCCCCTGGAAAGAAAGCGAGCTATTCATGTTGGCAACTGAACCTTTATTTTTACATAAACGTCCAAAGTCAAAGCCAAAGTATGCCATGAGGTTACCCGCATGGGCACAAGATATACATTCTGCTGGGCTTAAGAGAAGACACGGGCAGCTGGAGAAGGGGAGCAGGGTTCCTAAGTAACACATTAATCAGCTGTCAGCTGTGGGAGCAAAGTTCAGCCTTTAATGGAACCCACCGCTGCCTTCTGAGTGGTAATCTGGCATCAGGCGATATTTAATTAAGAAACCCTTTTGCTGAAATCTTTCTTATCTGGGCAAAGACATTTGTAGCAATGGAACAGTAAGAAAAGATATTAGCATCTCTTTGAATGCCATCCACAATTTGAGAAACAAAACAAAAAATC